TCCCCACAGCCGCTCTCCCCAGCCAGGAACTTCAACCTGTGCTCTTTCTCTGAAGCTCAGTAATCACAGGCCAGAGTCCAGTCCCCAAAAGCCTCTTTCCAGATACCACTAAGCCTTAATTCTGCAGTTTGCAATGTAGCCTTCAACATGCACATACAGAAGAGCAAGGCTTTCAAAAAAGTCCCAAATGACAAATTTTTAAAGCAATAACTCAGTTATAACTAACTAGAAGGTAAATAAAAGCAGATGCTTTTATCTGCCATTGACACAGAGTATCTGCCAAGACACAGAATATTTACACATTCTTTCCATAATAAATACAAAACTCAAACTGGGAGGGGGAGAACTAGAAAGAGGTGACAGCATAGAAAATTTGCAGTATCAGCATTGTGACAAATGTTACAAAAAGATTACAAAACCCAGAAGTATTTCAAATCTCTAAATATATTTAACTTCCTTGTCCTGCAACAGGAACCAAAAATGCAAACAATAGCTTAACACATGTGACTAAAGTTCCAACAACCACCCCTTTTCCTGCTTCCCACCACTCCAACTGGTTTGCTGCCTGAAAAATGCAGGAAGGAAAAAATGGCATTCTAAAATCACTGGAAAAAGTATCATTCACCTTGAAAACCCCACCAGCCTGTGGCTGCCGTGAAAGCCACTCTTTATCCATCCCATCACTGGCAGAAGTCACATACATTTCCGAATAATCCTTTCCTCCGAAACAGCAGGAAGTTGTCTTGTCGACAGGAAGTTTCACTGTCTGGAGTCTTTTTCCTGGAGAAAAACATGCATTGTGTTCCCATTCAATACTTAGGACAAGAAATTTAAACAAATTATACGAATAACCAGCATGGAGCCAGGTGTTTCACAAAAGCAGGTACCAGGGCAGGAGCAAGTCCTATGCTGAGTTTCAGCACACTGATGAGCACCGTGACAGGAGAAACCAGACTTCTGTACACCACAGAAGTGAACTTTCTGTTGTTGACGATGTAGCATTTGACAAGTTTCAGTCTCAGTTATTATAAACAAATCCCCCCTCCCCCCAATCCCAGCCTGTCCTCTAATTAAATGCTAACAGCCACAGCACAGACATGTATATCTCAGCTCATCACCTCGGCTGCCCATGCAGTCAATGGAAATGGGATATAATTCCTCCCTAAAATAGGTCACATGAATCATGCCCTAGAGCTGCTGACTTTCTTACTTTTAACTACAAAGGAAGCCTGGAGCAAGCAGACCTCGTGCAGCTCTATTGAGGCGTACCTTGGGCTACACCTCTACTGCCTGCAGTTAAGGAAGATCAATTCGTTGAAGTTTTTCCTGAAATTTCAATAGCCTTTCAAAACAAGCTTGCATAACATAGGGATCATGGGACAAGTGTGAAGCTTGGAAGAAACTAGTGCTACTGTAAATGATATTAGGCATTTATTATACCAACAAAGAGCTACCAGCCTAATGATGGTAGTAATTGGACTGGTCCAGCCTTAACCAGAAGTCTGTCATAGAATAGTTTCTTACAATACATGTAACTTTCCTGCACCCCAACTGCATGTGTAAAGGGCACGGTCCCCTTAGAGTAACTAACTGCTTAGCGATGAGTTGAAATAGCAGGAGAGTAACTTTGATGTTGGGAACCCTACAAGGAAAAAGTGGAAAGTTTGGCCCACTTAACACCTACGAGAAGTTCTTGGTCAACTTCAGAGCGGGGCACCATTTCCCAGGGGGTGTTTATCAAACCTTTTGTCTCACCAAGAAGCTGTGCCTTGCTCCCTTGCAATGACATAGCAGAACTGCAACAACCTGACAAAACCACGCACCAAACAGCTTCCCTTGTACCACAACACTAAGTGGGTCACAAGCACAGGTAAAATCAAGGCCGCACTATTAAGCTGTTGGTGCAGTCCTGGCAATCTTTTGGCCCACCTAGTTGGGTACACTGCTCCCTAGAGACAGTTTGGGCTCTGGTTTGGTGTGAGAAGACAGCCTGGCTGTCCAAAATAAGCTACAATATAGAATCACAGAATGGTGTGGGCTGGAAGGGACCTTTGAGATCATCCAGTTCCAACCTCCTGCCATGGACAAGGACACCTTCCCCTAGACCAGGTTGCTCCAAGCCCCGTCCAATCTGTCCTTGAACACTGCCAGGGATGGGGCAGCCACAGCTTCTCTGGGCAACCTGTGCCAGGGCCTCACCACCCTCATAGTGAAGAACTTCTTCCTAATATCTAATCTAAATTCTACCCTGTTCTAATTTAAAGCCATTCTCTCTTGTCCTATTACCGCCTGCCCTTGTAAAACATCCCTCATCATATGCCATATGGTGCAGGACTAAAGGATGTTGCCTGATTTTACTTGCTAGTATGGATGTAACCAATAAACCCAGAATATATGACAGAGGGATGAGCAGAATTCTCTTGGCTTCACCAAGAACTCTGACGAGGGCTGGGTACTTTACAACTCTGTTTTAAGCCCAAAATAAATACAAGAAAATAGCAAGTAAAAAAAAAAAAAGCAGGGGTGAAAAAGCCTGGAAAATTTGAGCCATCTGGGATTCCTGATCCAGTACAATAAGCTTATTTGGCACATGTTTTGACCTACAATGGCCAAAGGAAAAATCAAAAGCACTGTAAGAGCATTTAGATTGCCAGAGATTATTTGCATGCCTGGTTAACTGTTTGATTTTTATCTCCTGAGAAGAGCAGATTTCTCAAAATATCTAGAAAACTTGGGAAAGAAGTAGTTCAGTCTGTTGCCTGGGAGTGACAAGGACCAATATGAGTTCGAAGACAATGCTCCTGCCAACTTGCTCTACCAATACTTTGTGGTTATCCAGTCTGCTGGCAGTTGGGAGCATTTCATGGCCACATGGGTTACATGATTGCTTGCAAAATGCTCCAGAGGCCACCCTAGAAACTGGCTGACACTAAGTCTGGGATAAAATGAGTGGGAAGGGTATTCAAAGGGAAAAAACATTCACTGCAGGAGAAGAGGCATGGGCCCCAAAGACAAGAGGAGAGACCCTGACTGCACTTGCAGAGTGGTCTCAGTGGGTAACAGCCTGGAAGATGTTGCTTACAAAGTTCTGAGATGAGCATTGTCTCCTGGAGATAGAAGAAAATCTGCACCTGGATACTCTAAAATCTACCTGAAGTATTCACATAGGCCTGATACCTACAGAAGGGAGAAACTTAGCAAATCTTTTAGACCCTGTACAATCAAAGGATATAAAAACACATTCGTTACGAAGAACTGTAAAATATTTAACTCCTAATAAGAAGACAAGGCTACATAAAACTAGGTCACCACATGACCAGAAGGTATGACAAGACTTGGCAATACACAAGTTAGCCCTTTGCAAACCCAGTTGGATCAGTCATCACAGCTTTTCCCTGTAGCACACCCTGACTCTAAAGGCACCATCTATCTGAGCTAAAGAAGCCTAGACCTGAAAAGCTACTTCACCGTGAACCTCAAAACCTTCACTTAGAAAAGATGCCAAACAAACAAGTTTCCTCACCCAATCCCCTAAAAAGGCAGTCTAAGCTTTGCTATCAGTGAAACCTGAAAATCCCTCCATGCTTTAGATGAGCTTTTTATCAGTGGATGTATCTGCAACTGACAGTCATTCAAGTCACTCTTAATAGCTACTGTGCATTAAAAGAGAGGCTTTCATGGAGCTCTCTTCAAACCTGTTTGGTTATCTCCCTAAATAGTTTCAATTCACTCATAATTCAGCAATTTACGGATTTTACATATTACTCTCTCTGTGGAGAGGGCAGATAAGCATGAGATGTTCACAAAAAAGGCTCTTTTTGACACAGACATTTAACCTGAGAAACTTCTTGCTAATGTTTGCTGCAGGTGCTGGGTGTTTTACATGGGAAGAGAAAATCACTGGCACCTACCCATACACCCAAATCACATCCAGCTCTGGAAGACCTGATCTGAGCAAAGTAAGAGACTGGGAATGTATTAGGGATTAAGAATACTTAAGAATACTGCTGTCAGTATTCTTAAATCTCTCTATGACTTCTGCTTATGGACACTATTCTCTTTAGCTTTCCTTTAAGAAAATACTTCCAAAAGGGAGAAGGAAAGGGAAAATAAGTGAAAAAAGGAAAAAGGAAAAAGGAGAAGACCAGGGAGGAAAAAGGTAGAAACAATGAACCAGAGAGGCTCACGTGTTTTTGACCCAGACTAAATCATGTCTGGCAGACCACCAAAGCCCAAATGAGAGCAGCGATGAATGACGGGCTCACACAATGGGCACACCCAAGATATTACTGTGGGAATGATAAAATGCTGTGGAATTCATTATACGTTTTTTAATTATCTCATTTGCAAAGTTCATTGTGTAAATAATATTTAACAATAAAACAATATTGCTGGTATCAGTGTCACATGGGACTTGTATGAATCTCAGCAGGCTGCCTGAATTAATCACTATGCTGAAGGAAAGAAGCCAAAAAATGGCTTAAGTCATCTTTGCTATTTCATGGCTCACTAATTTTCTTCCACATAATTTATCAATGAGGTAAACACTGACCTTAAGCTTGGAGGCTGCAAGAGGATGCTAACTCAAACAATTCACAAGTATAATAGTAATCTCCTCAGCAACTTCACCTTTTCCAACACAACAGAGGCTGGGAACAAAGGAGTCTTATTTACAAAGCTAACTTTTGAGAGCAGGGACGTAAATTTGTTTAATATACCATTTCTGTGAGGGGAAAAAAACCACCTCTCATTCTTTGCATTTGTTTCTTCTTTCTCTCATACAGAATTCCAGCCCACCTTTGCAAGCACTTACCTGTCTCAGGATCAAGACGAATCACCCTCCCACCATCATAACAAGCTACCCAGAGTTTGCCTTCTGTATCAATGCACATCCCATCAGGAATGCTCTCCTCTTTTTCCAGTTTGTATATACTCCTACGGTTGTCTGCAAGGTAGAAAAAGCACAACAAAACTAAGTGAGACAGTTGTTAAAACTTTTACCAGTTGCAGACCAGCAGAGTTAATTATACAGTAGGTTTCAAAAGCTGTGTTTTTTCATATGAAAGAAACAGATTATGTCTGCTGCCCTGTTTGTTTCCCTGAGACAGTTGTTCCTCAGCATGAAAGCCATTGGAACTATAATTCTTCTTGCCTGGTGTTCTTTTGTAGTGCAGTACTCATGCTCCCTACTTATAATATTAAATGAATAGCTGCATAAATTAATGTTACATATATTCAGAAAATTAATTGCTTGTTCTAATAGCAGTTTGGACCATTTCAAGTATGGGTCACTTCCAGTCAGAAAACTGGAGACTTTTCAAACAGATTGCTGGAACGTGCCAATAATCACTGTTCCAACAAAAATCTGACCTTCAGATATATAAACCGAGAGTTTATATAAACACCAAGTTAGAAAAAGCATCAACTTCAAAGGCATACTGTCAACCTAAACCCAAACAACTCTATCTGGACTTCTATCCACTGTTATTAAAGAAAATGAAAACCAACTTCCCAACATTATTTATTTTACGCTCTGACAACTTCAATGTTTCTCACATGTAGCAATATTTTAATGAGTTTCCTTTGCCTCCTGGGGATTGTCAGATTGCCCACAGAAACAGAGTGAGTGAGCGGGGCTGAGAGAGAGAGAGAGAGAACCACCCTGTTTCCTAAAGGAAAATGCAGTTGTAAGCTATAGCAGAGAGACACTGGGACAAGATGCCATTTTAAAGCTAAATATCAAATTGACTGGGTTCTTTAAAAGCAAAATACTGCAGTCCATGTACTCAAAAGCAAATTATTAGTCCAAGTCACTAGAATTTTTCTTTTGCCCAAGCTTGTAGAAGCCCTTAAAGGGTTGTTTTGTCTTAAATAAATGAAGAAGTTTTGAGTAACTGCTTTCCAATTGTTGCTTAGCATTATCTGCAGAATCTTCATTTAAGAGCTTCTATTTTAAAGAAACAAATCAGGGTGAAAAAAAAAAAACTCCGGAAAAGCTAGCAGAAGTTTTTGCACAGGACTACAAGCTTTCTGGTACTTTGCCTACGCTGTCAGTAATAAGAAGCTCAGAGCCACAGAAACCTAGCCATACAAGAAACACTGCCTTTTTTACACAAGAAGATCAAATATGCATTGTGTTTAGTAACAGTAGTCCACATTACTGCTGAAACTCTGCCACACAATTCAAATAATTTATAATATTACCAACAGCATCCGATTAGATTGACCCTGCTCAGGCTCAGATGGATGTTAATATGACTTCTGTTGCTTTGTTCTAAAGAGGTTTCTGAAGAAGCACTCCCAAAGCTCTGATCATCTCTGCATAATAACCAGAATGCAAACAAACATCCCAGTAATGAGTTGCAAACAATTATTGTAGAATTCAACAATTCATACCAATTTTTCCAGTTTGGAGATCATAATCAAAGGCATCCACTGAGTAGGACAAGCTGTCAATGTAAAAGAAGGTTTTGTGGTCCAGCGACCAGTCCAGCCCATTAGAAATGTCCACCTGATCAAAGTGTTTCACCACTGAGAGGTCGGAGTGGAGGGAATACAGAGAGCCCTGGTGTCTTTCCAGCACGGCAGGTCGAATCTCCTCAGCCATGGTCCCTGCGCAGAGCCAAAGGGGAGAAAGCAGGTTTAGAGTGAAACAAGTCCAGAGTGAAAGCAGGTTCAGGTTTGGTGGCAGCCCCTCGCTATGATAATGACCACACTGCCAATGTAGAAGGGAGCAGTGTGGGGCTTCATGAATTTGGAGAAGAAACTGAGCAAAAGCAAAAGAGAAAGGTAGATTCCAAAAGCAGTTGCTTTTAGCAGAAGATGTCGAAACACAGCCTTTGTTTTTCTGTTGAACTGTGGCAGAAACGGTGTGCAGTGTGATTCCTGCAAAATGCTTCAGTCATTCAAATACTAAGACAGGTGTGGTCAGCATTTAACTTCCCACAAATCTTCACATCTTGTATAACAGAGACTGGGAAAAAATTTCCTCCTCCCTCAGAATGAGTCTTACTAAAGCTTCTCCAAAAACAAATCTCATCTTTGTGGCTCAAAGTCGGCAGCTGAGACTGGTTCTTGGAGACTGGGTAAATGCAAGTTACGGTAAGTCTGGGGACCCAATTACATGGCAGGTACATACAATGGTGTTTTATAAAACAGGAGGACAGAGTCACGGGCAGCCAAGGCTGGAGGGCACCTCTGGAGATCTTCCAGGCCCACCCTCTGATTAAATGGTGTCTCCCTGATTAGGTGTCACCTGGATTATCCCCACATAAATGTGATAAACTCTGCCTGAAGACAACGACAAAAAACCTACCTCCACCATTTAACTATGAATCAACACTTGCTGCATCCAAATCTGATTGCTGCATCTCAGCACCAAAACCTCACAAAACATCAGAAGGGAAGAACCACCTGCAGCTTACCTGCGAAGTACCTCCCTGCAGGATCCACTTTCCCATCATTGAATCGGTTGTTTGGTTTATCCTTGTCCACGTGAGTAATGGTGGTTACCAGCTGCTCGTTCCATTTCAAAGCAGCAAACCTTGTTCCCAGGGTGATGACGTAACCCCCAGATTTCCGGAGAGCCACGGAGCTCACGGGAGCATCTAGAAACAGGGTGAAATGGAAAAGAGGGATGTGCTATGGAGAGGCACTTCTTTTCTGCCCACGTGAGACATGCCAGCAGTTACACCAGACTCAGTAAGACCACGGGCAAGAGAAAAAACCTACTTTTCTACCAACAAAACGGATGTTTAAATGCACAGAAATAGATTCTTTCACATGAAGAGGACATACTTAATGCATACAGAAAGTTGATACGAAGAGAATCACCAGTTTGGGACATACAAACGCCAGGAATTTGAGTATTACCACTGCTTCCAGGAGCTATAATCATTACCAGCACCTGGTTCTGAGGTGCTTTAAGAATTAAGTAAATAATTTAATAAAAAGATACAGGCATGTAAGCTTTTTACTGCCTGGACTGCCAGGCACAGCTACAGGTTGGGTGGAGAAGAGATTCAGAGCAGCCCTGCGGAGAAGGGCTTAGGGGTGCTGTTTGATAAGAAACTGAACATGACCCAGCTTTGGTGTGCGCTTGCAGCCCAGAAATCCAACCATATCCTGGGCTGCATCAAAAGAAGCGTGACCAGCAGGTCAAAGGAGGTGATTCTGCCCCTCTACTCTGCTCTCATGAGACCTCACTTGGAGTATTGTGCACAGTTCGGGGTTCCTCAGCATAAAAAGGACATGGAGCTGTTGGAGCAAGTCCAGAGGAGGCCACGAGGATGATAAGAGGGCTGGAGCACCTCCCATACGAAGACAGGCTGAGACAATTGGGGCTGTTGAGCCTGGAGAAGAGAAGGCTGCGTGGAGCCCTCATAGCAGCCTTCCAGTATCTGAAGGGGGCCTATAAGGATGCTGGGGAGGGACTCTTCGTTAGGGACTGTAGTGGTAGGACAAGGGGTAATGGCTTCAAACTTGAACAGGGGAAGTTCAGGTTAGATCTAAGGAAGAAGTTCTTCACAGTGAGGGTGGTGAGGCACTGGAATGGGTTGCGCAAGGAAGTTGTGAATGCTCCATCCCTGGCAGTGTTCAAGGCCAGGTTGGACAGAGCCTTGGGTGACATAGTTTAGTGCGAGGTGTCCCTGCCCATGGCAGGGGGATTGGAACTAGATGATCTTAAGGTCCTTTCCAACCCAAACTATTCTGTGATTCTATGACTCCCCCTCCTCAAGGGAAAGATCAATTGCCACAAGAGCTCTGGAGCAACTGTGTTTGTTTAGCACAGCTCTTGAGTAAATCAGCCCTACAGCAGCATTCAGCTTTAACTCATGGAGACAGAGAGTATCTCTGCACTGGGACAGGTCACACTGGACAGGAGAGCCACCCCTCTGCACCATGCTGCTGTGCAGTTCAGACATGCCTCCAGCAGCACCAGAAACACACCCAGGAGTGGCAGAGCTTTCCACGAGTCAAAGCAAAACCGAAAATTAATAAATGCTCCATGGTTATTTTACACTCATTTGAACTATTATGCAGTAAACCCTCGATTGCAGGTTATTATAAAGGAATTAGGGAAAAAGCAGCAAAATGAGTGTGGATAACATTTCTGTAAAAACCTGCAATCAGATGCAACATAAGGAATAACAACATTAAACAGGGCAATAAAGTCTGGCATAATATTTAATACACATGGGACTAATTGCCAACTTTTTAAATTAAAAATAAAACATTTCTTGTATTTATAGCTTTGCAGAGGTATAATTAGGTAATAGCTTCAAACAAACACTTATAAACGTCACCAGCCATCCCCGCTGCCAAGAGGAGCTGCTCCTTTCTGGCTGCTTGCTCTTGGCTCAGGATGCTCCTTCCCTTTGCAGCCCCAGCAGCGGTGCCACCGCGTGAGCAATCCAAATGCTCTTTGCCCCCAACACCAGAGGTGCACACCTAATGGCAAGCTCAACTCTAGCAACTTCTTCACCTAGAGGTGTGCGACCACACTGCTGAGGCTCTTGGTCTGGGCTTACCTGCACTGGGCCAGCAGGTGCCACTTCTCCTTCCCGTGCCAGCACAGAGAGTTTGGCAGAATAACCATGCCAGTTAAAGCACTTTTCTGCCTGCACTGGCAGCAGGGGCTTTGCTGGGAGAGCATAGGAACACCACTCCTGGGAATGCAACTCTCCATTTGCTCTCCCAGCAAAATACCTTAAGCTGTAGCCCACATGAGTCCTTCCACCCGGGCAGCACCCAGGGCCTCCCTCCCTTCCACCCCAGGAGAGCAGCCCCAAGCACAGCAGCCTGTACACCCTTACCTGCCTGTCCCGTGAGGAGGATACCACCAGGTGCCTCTACAGCCCCATGAACAGCCCCATACCCTCCTGACAAAGCCCCCCAGTGGAAAGGGGTGTATAAGGCCAGGAAGATGGACAGAGTCACCCCACTCTTTGCTGCAGAAGCGAGCATATTAGCCTTGCACCCAGCTCAATCCGCAGCCACCCCCAAGGGCTTCGTTAAACAGCATCCACAGGAACCAATTTATTTGCAACACCACTTTATGCTGAACAGAAAACTGACCATAAAGTTCCCCCCTCCCAAGGCATAGTTATTCATATTATGGTGTTTTCCCTGTGGAGCTGAAAAGGGCATTTGAAGTTCCTGATGCGTGTGGAGTTGTAATTCTGTATAAACTTCAGTAATGAGTAACTTCCTCCTTAGCTGCCATTTGGACATCAACCCGCTATTTAAATCACATGACACTCTTTGGGTGTTTGTTGGTTGGGCTTGGGATTTTTTCTTTCAATCATGGCATTCCCAAAGGCACAGCTATTAACTATAACTATTTTATTATAAAATAGAGGAAACAGAAGTAAGTAAGGGAGAGGAAAAAAAATCTACTTCAGCTACTACCTCTTCTACATCTCTAAAGAGACCACATGTAAAAGATTACACCTTTGAGAGTAGGTCTGAGTTGGGTAGGGGAAGGCAAGGAGAGGCACTCTCCCTCAGCTAAAGTAAGAGGAAGTAAGTCTGGGAAGTAATGTTTCCAAACTTAGCATCAAGCCTTCTCCCATCTTAAAACTGGTAATTACAGTAATGTGAAGGGCAGGTAAGTCCCGATCAGTTCATTGGGAATGATGCGAACGGCTTACGGGTGGGCAAAAGTGATTTTCACCAAGCGTTACTGAACGTGAGAAAGTAATAAATACAAGTACTTAAACCATTTAAGGATCTATCTTCCGAAAGACAAATATTTAGATTGTCACACAGAGAAGTAAATCTGCAACTCTTCATGAGAATTAGCACATTTCTTCCTTTCCTGAATAAATACTTCACCTATTAAGACTCTAGGTGGTGACACTGTTACCTTACAAGATGCCTTCTTAAACAGTTATGGGAAATTTTCTTCCAATAAAGAGAACGTTATGGGCATTGCTCATTCAAACCAGTAACAAAACTCCCACAGATATCAAGAGTGTAACTTTATCTCTGGGACAAAGAAGGAAGATTGAGATTAGATATTAGGAACAAATCCTTCCCTGTGAGGGTGGTGAGGCGCTGGCACAGGGTGCCCAGAGAAGCTGTGGCTGCCCCATCCCTGGCAGTGTCCAAGGCCAGGTTGGACGGAACTTGGAGCAACCTGGTCTAGTGGAAGGTGTCCCTGCCCATGGCAGGGCGTTGGAACTGGATGATCTTTAAGGTCCCTTCGAACCCAAACCATTCTGTGATTCTTTGAACAAAAGACAGTGAGTTGTGAACAAGTCACAGGAAAGAGTAGTTGATCAAACATAACCCAATAGCTCAAAACGGTAAGAAAAGTCCTCAGGGCTAAGCCCAACCACTATCTAATGCCTTCGCACAGCACAAGCCCCAGTATCCTCCTT